CTGATTTGTGAAATCTGAAACTTGTTTTTGTATTTTTGAAATGGTGTAAAGTAAATACCTTAGAAATGTATTGTTCCCTTAGAGAATTCATGGCCTTAAGTATGGGCTTCCATGGATCAGATTGGATCAGTGGGCTGAAACCCAAAATATGGAGCTTCCATAAATCTGAAGCACCTAATAGCATTGGACTTCTATAAAACATTCTTGGATTTTATTATCGGAAATTTTCTTATCTACATCATTGTGAAATAAATATTTAAGATTTACTATGTGACTTTTATAATCCAAGTACTACTTTGTGATATAGTTAATATTTTTGGAAATACTATATACCCAATTTAGATTCCATATATTATTTGTAACTGAAATTAATTTTAATTACCCTGGTATTAAACTGGTCATTTATTGTTGTTTCTAAACTATCTCAGAATTTAAAAAACTTCATTGGGCAAATTGTAACACATCCTTTTTGGGAAAAAACAATCTTCATTCTCTCTGTCTTTTTGCTAAATTCATCCAATATCAAAGTTTTCTTATTGCAGAAACACATAATTTTCTGTTTTATGACTCAATAATTTTTTGATTCATGACTCAATAATCCATCCACATACGCATAATCTGCAAAAACATATGTTCATGTGCCATTTATTATTATTTATAAAATTTTGGTTAAGTGGTGCGTTTGATGGCACATATACAACTCACAATTGATTATTCAGTATCAGTGAGATGATTTACATGTTTTTTATTTTACTATATTTTTAATGCTATAACTTGAATAAAATTAATGACGAAGTAATTCCGAAAATTATATCAAATACTAGATAAGCGATGTAATTTCCTTTTTTTATTATTTTGATTCAGATCCATCACTAAGTTCATATAATTTAAAATACGGGACAAATATCAACCTTGAAAGATACACTTTCAAACTTGACACACTTATTGAATTATTTTAAAAATCAAATGGTATTTATTAGATAGGTAACTAAGTAAGTTTTATTAATATGATAGGTAATTAAATAGGTTAAAATCACAACTAGTCACAATCATGGAACTCGACAGTCACAAATCACAAATTTTTAGGTCGTAATTTTTTTATCGGTCACAAATTATCAAATTAATTGACCATAAATTATTTCTCGATCACAAATTATAAATTTTATAGGTCACAACTTGTTTATCGATCACAAATTATCAAATTAATTGGCCACGAGTTATTAATCAATTACAAATCACAATTTTTTTAGATCACAACTTATTTAACAGTCATAAATTATTAAATTAATTGATCGCAACTTATTTTTCAATAAAAAATCACAAATTTTATCGATCACAAATTACCTCACATCTCCCATACCTCACCCCATCTCCTCCACCACCGTCGACACTATAAAAACGAATCGTCGCCTTAGATCCAATTCACCATCACCACAAGCTACCACCATATCCAACACACAACCACCACCGCCCCGTCCCGCCCCAGCCCACCCCAAATTCATTGCACCAGCACCATCGCCAGCATTGATCACCACTACCACCACATATTGACACTCTACTATAAATAATCACCCCACACCTATAAATAATCATAGATAGTACGCCTGTAAATATGCACCACTGTACGCACCACCACACGTAGATCGATTGTAAATAATCACCCAACAGCTGTAAATAATCACAGGTCATACACCTGTATATATGTACCCGCACACTATTGCATTGAGTAGGAAGCGGCGGATGCACGCTTCTGCCACGAAGAGTCGTCTCCCACATATGGAATGAACATCGAAGAAGAGTAAACGTTGCGACAACTCGAGAAATAAGTTGTTTGAGTTGAAAAATGAATTAGGATTAGAGTAGGTTATAATGTGGTGTGGTGTGAAATCAGGTAGATTGAGTAGGGTATATGATAGGTGTAATTTCCACAATTATTTGAGGCCTTAGATTATACCACTTGCATTAGGCGGTTGCATAGTGAGTTTATGGGCCAAAAAAAATCAGCTTATTAAGTTTAGGGACAAATTCATGGCTCAGGGATTTACTTTTAGGAAATCAAAAATCAGGTCCCAATATTTAAAATTGCAAAA